ATTTAGTGCTTCTTACTTCCTTCAAGTTTCCTTCAACTCTCTTCACAATATATATATATATATATATATATATATATATATATATATATATATATATATATATATATATATATATATATATATATATATATATATATATATATATACCTTTTTTCTCTCTCCAAAAATTCATTTAACTTTAGAGGTTCTTCTATGCCCACGCTATATGATTTTTTATTGTTTGTTAGTAACTAGGGTTGAAATTGTCCTCATTGACCCCTCACATCCTTTCATATTGTTATTCCATTGCAATTGATTGTATCTAGACGACGAGTAACATTCCTTAGTATTACAGTTGTTTCATGATTGATTGTTGGAGATGAAGAGATTGGAGAATGTAGAGCATTTTCATTCATGGGTTGATTTGAATGAGTGATGAGAGCTTCCTCTATTGGTGGTGGTGAAAACATGTATGTTTTTGGAGGTGATGGGGATGTAGTTTTATTGTTTGGGTAATCTTCATTGATTTGACAATTTCACTAGAATTGGATTGATTTTACTATACACAATGGTTTTTGTTGCCTTCCTACATTTATCAACCATTATGCCTTGTTGAGTGAGAACGTAGAAATGCCAAAGTTGTTACTCACAATCGATGCCAAATAATCTAGAAATTAATCTTTCTAATTCACATGTAGGGGTAAAGTGTGATCTGGTGGTGACTCCAATGAGAATTTCCAACTCTAGTTCGACAAGAAAAAAGGATGGAATAACACCTGCAAACACTCTAACGCCCAAGCAGATGACATCATCAAGTGAGGTTTTAAGGATATAATGTTTAATTGAGATTGATGTACAATCTTCCTTTAATAGTAAGGTTCTAGGATTTTTCAAAGACATAGAACATTATCTTTTGCATAGGAGGACAAATGTCAAAAGATCCCTGAAAATATGGTTTGATGACCTCCAAGATCATGTCATCTTTGATTAGGTGTACTTCAAGAACAAATTCATCTCAAGGTCATGTACTACCAAAACCTTGTTTGTGGATAATTGTTATAGAGAACTGACGTTAGTAGTCTTACGTCAATGGATCTCATTTTCATTATCCGACGTTTTTTAAAAGTTATATTGACATTGATGTGGTACGATATTATGGTGACATCATTCCATGAACCCTAAGTCATTTGAGTCATTCTCATTGTGTAATTCTTTCAAAATATCTTATGAGCCCATTAGAGGGTTTTGAAACTCCCATTACCGTGTCTTCTTAGCGAAGATATTGATTTGATAGGGCAAAATAGACCGTGAGTTAGATCCAGAATAAAACAGGTTGAAATATCAAAAAAAAAAAATTATTGTTTATAATATCCATTTCAATAATGATTTTTATCAACCTCAATAATTGTTTAAAAAATTATTTTTTTAAATATTTTTTAGATTTGGTTCAGTCCCATAGGTTTTACTCAAAATTATTAATAATGTTTGTGTTAATTTTTAAATAAAAATTAGAAAGTATTGTTAAAAAAACAAAATAAAAATGCTAGGCTCGTTTTTCTAATTAAAAAATGAAACTTCCATTTATCTTTGTAAATTCTTATAATTATTACTCAATATCCATGTAATAATGTATATATAATTTTTATAGATGAAGCTCTAATAATAATTATTATTGAAAAATATATGTATTTATAGTGTAAAATAATTTTATATTGTTAATCAATTATCATAATGTATTTTGTCAAGTCATTCTGATATTTTTAAATTAGTTGTGAGATATGATTGATTGATGAATCTCTATTAGATGACATTGTAACATAATTCTATAATGTCAATGCATTATCTTTAACCTTTAATTATTATATTATATAGAATTTAGTTGAAATACACTAATAGTGTGAAAAGTTTTACACCATCAGTGAATTATGATCGTTAGATTATAAATTATATTTGATTTTTATATTAATTATTTATTAAATAGCATTAATAGGTGGTTGTGATGCATTGATCGTATTACAGTGTATAGCAATTAATCTCTTATATATAAGAATAAAATAATTAATCACTAATTTTAATTTGTTATCATAATTTCAAAAAAAGAAGAATTGGCGGGGTTGTGGATATTCCCACTAACCGTCAAAACCGTTCCTAATGCAAGTGGAAATAAAATTCCCATACATTCAGACCACATTAACTCTAAAACAAAAACCAATAACACTCTGCCATGTCACCCAACAACAAAACAAAGTCCTCTCCATCCTCCACGTGGACTAGTGCATCCATTTCCCATGCACCCTACCACACCATAACACAACCGTCAAAGTTCATTTCAAATTTTTTATAAATCAACAAAGTAGAAAAAGAAGAAACAATTGATCAATCAAATGAATGAGAAAATTGAACATTATGGAGAGAGAATTTGAAAGAGGTTACATAAAAAAAGGACCATGGAGTAGTGAAGAAGATGAAGTGTTGCTGAAACATGTTAACAAGTATGGTCCAAGGGATTGGAGCTCCATTCGATCCAAAGGTTCTTTGCCGAGGACGGGAAAATCTTGTCGGTTGAGATGGGTTAACAAGCTTAGACCAAACTTGAAAACGTAGTAACAATTTTCTTAACCCTTTCTAACATCAACATTGATTTCATGTTGTTGCTAATTTTTTGTTTTTTGTTGTTGTTAGTGTGTTGTGTTTGTTGTCTTGTTCTTATTTTATGATTGTCGAGATAGACAAAACTTGCTTGTCCATGAAGCTTTAGTACAATGTTTATAGTTTTTATGGTTCCTCTTACATGGTGACAATTTTTTTCCAGTGTAGAATAGTAGAGATCACTTCTATAAGTGGTAAAATGGATCCGACCTATCAGATATGTCTGTTTTGCTCACACGTTCTTTGAGGATGGGCCAAAGTTTTAGAGCGTGTAGCCTATAATGTGTCGGCATTGTCTTCTGTTTTTTTTTTTACTTTTGCAAACACAAGTATTAACATAAATTTCTACATTTTAGGCGTAAAATTTGTGATGCTTGAGACTCCGTCTCTCCTGCCTTCATTTTTTTCGGGACATAGCAAGGTTTTAGACTAACACACTCAACTATACTCACTTTATCTGGGTTTTTTTCCATACTTTTGTAGGACAGACTTAAACGAGACAGACATGTCCGTTTGTCACCTCTGTTTGTCACCTTTGATCTATTCAGAATCTAACACAATGCTAATATATACGGTCTCTACTCAATATTATAAACAAATAATTAGTTGTATCAATGTATCAGTGTTATGTTTGGTGTAGATATAAATTGTTTATAGATGCTAATATTGTATGGAAACTGTTTTGTTTTATGATTAAAGTTCGGAATGTGTGATTTGAATGGTAGAGGGTGCAAGTTTTCAGCAGAGGAGGAAAGGGTGGTGATTGAATTACAGGAGCAATTTGGAAACAAATGGGCGAAAATCGCTATGTATTTGGAAGGCAGAACAGACAATGATGTGAAGAACTTTTGGAGTAGCAGGAGAAAAAGGATGGAGAGGTCATCTCCAAGGACACCATCACCACCACCAAAGCAGCAGAAAAACAAAGGAAAAGATGTTGTTAATAATCAAGTGAAAGTTGAAAAGGTTAGGTAGAAACTAAACAGATTTTTTGTGTTGTTTTTGTACTAGTTTGATGGTGAAAATGTCTATTCCAGGTTCCTGAATGTGGTTCTAATCAGCTAGAGGAAAACTTTACTTACCCTACTTCTTGTATGGGAAACAAAGAGGTGTTCAAGATGGTGAATCTACCGGATTTGACAAAGCCAAACTACCAAAATATGGAAAATGACATTAATGGAATTGAGTTTGAGGCTACTCCACTTCACACGGTAATGTCATTTGAGTCTTCGTCAGCGGCGTACGACATTCCTCTAATCCCAGAACCACATATGGACTTTCCGCTATTTCCCGAGTGTCAGGATCTTGTTCAAGAGCCATATGATCCTAATTTTATGGACATGTTTGAGCAGAAAAAATGTTCAGATTGTGTGTGGAGCCAGAAGCTTGGGACCAGGTTGCCAACCCTTGAAGGAAATTCTCAGAGTACAAGTTCAAATGGCTTGTTTCAGGACATCTCAACTGAGATTTTTGAATACTTTTCTTAGTACTCATTTAGCTCTTTTGCCAAGTATGCCAATGCGTGAACTTGTTTCAGGTTTCTTGATTTTAATAGAAAAACATGAAGACGCATACTATCTAACTAGTTTAGTATCGTATTTGATACCTTAATATTCGAACTATTTCAATACTTAGTTACCATTACCAATGAAATCTGTTGGTGAACTTCAGGCTAAGCGTGTGTTTGTCTCCACGTAGGAAACAGGAGAAAAAGCGCTTCTGGCAGAAGCTTAGATTTCTAGCGTTAAAAAATCACGTTGCAATTGCATTGGGACGCGAAAATGGAATAGAAAAAGGGAACCCAAACATATGCTAAGTCACTCTGAACATACTGGTCCTGTGCTTTTTTTTTTTTGCTTACAAGTATAACTTGAACAAGATTTCCTTCAATGATTATCCAATTTAGTGAATGGAAACTAGCGGCTGTCTGCACATATATTCTTTGAATTTCAGGTCCTAAGAACGAATCTTATGTTTAATTTCAAGGTCCTAAGAACGAATAGTACATATTTTAAATGTTCATAAAAACTGTTTGCGGGTGCATCAAACTGACCTTCATATATATCTAAACTATAAACACCACAATTATCATTATTCAAGCTTAGGACCACAATATAACAGCGCATTTGTGATGTGAATTTCTGCAAGCAGTGGATAATAACTGTACAGTGCTTTTGCAATATCCCTCCACATGCCAAAACATTGTAAAAGACCTAGAAAATCAGAAACCCTACTGGACCACTATCAGACATATTTCCCAGCGTAAAGACAGCTGCTATACAATGATATCCTCGCGTCTAGATTGGAGAACATTATTTCAAATTCAATGCATCCTAGTCAAAGAATCAATGAAAGATAAGGAGTATGATCGTTTATTTCCAAACTGTCTCATTGGCATCAGTGAAGACTGCATTGTGATGTTCTATGAGCAACTGAACAACCTCGATTGCACCATAGTCAACTGGCATGCCATCATCCAAAGGAATAAAAGAAGATGCATCAGTAGCTTCACCGTCATCTGCAACAAAAGAAACAAGAAAATTAGATAAATGGTAATCTCTGATCAACACTGATCCAATGCTGACCAAGTTTTAGCTCAATAGAAGAAAAACAAACGACAGTTGAATAACATTTTCACTCTTCCAGGATGTTGTGATTAGAGTGCAATGTTGATCATACAAGTTAGAAGTACAATTTCAAGCAAATTTTAAAATGCTAAGCTACGTGTGCCCTTTAAAATGTTAATCATAGAAGTGATTTGTAGCAAAAATATTTCAACCGTACTGTAATAAAAGCACCAGAAGATTTTAATATTGACTATTAGCCTCTGTAATAACAATGACATCCTCTTAATGCATTTTCAGGTCAGGTGATTATTCTTTAAAGAAAACATTGAACAGCAGTTCAACGTCTGTAGGAGTATCGATTTGATTTTTCAAATCCTTTTAGACAACTATGACTAGAGAAGAATATAGTTAACTTTTAATCACAGGCTACGTAATGAATTATATTCTCTGTCTGTATTTGTTACTATGTTTAAAATATTTACATGTTAAGGTGACATTTTTCATACCAGCAAGCAAGTCCCAGGTAGTTGAACCAGGTTCTGGATCCAAGCTCTGTTTGGAAGGACTTTCTGACATTTGACTCCAGTATTGACGATAAAATTCAGGTCTATGTTCTTTTTGCCACATGATAACAGGTGCCATTTCCAACGCAAGGCTCCGAGAGTCCATCTGAGCAAAGTCAAACAATGTTAGCATGCTGATCAAAACTAATTTGAATGTAGAATCCAACAAGTAACAACAGTGTGATTGTTCTTAAGGTCAACCATTTGATGGGAAAATAAAAACAGTAAAGCACCATGATGATCATAATTAGGGAGTGATGAAGGTTTGTAATCATGACAAAGCAAGCTATGCAAATTGGAAAACAGTGCTATAACGAGAGGAAAAAGAAGACTAGAAAATAAGACCACTTGAAGAAAGCCTAAAGTAAACCAGGAACAAATCCAATCCTGGAGAATATAAAGTAAAAATACATTAATTAGTTGAAAACAATGGCTTCTGTTTCTTACTGTTTCAGTATTTTTCTTAAACTTCTTTGTGCATTAGTATATCTAGAACTTACTTTTATGGTCTCAAGAATATTCATCTGACTTAACTAAATGTAACTTAAACAGCTAGTGATAGTCAGATAACTTTATTCTGCTTTCAGAACCTGTCTGGTGATATAAATGAGGTTCCTCACTATAAAAGATTTGTTAATAAGATTTTTCATTGGAAGAGACCAAAAGAAATCTGATTCTGAAATAATCGTATATTCTGAACCATATTTTGCAGCGACTATGCTCAGAGACTTGTGTTTTCAACCTGGAAGGAGACTTAAATTTGGGGGTTGATTGGCTAGAAACCAATGGAAAAACCACCATTGACTGGGCATAGAAGACTATTAGTTTCAAAGAAAACAGCTGAGTTATTACACTGAACAAATACTGCATCAGAGATAAACATCATACCACTGCATTGCAGGGACTTTTGTACGGGAGTAGTCATAGATTGAGCAGAAGATGTCATAACGGTGAAAAGACATAATTCATCTGGCGTGGGAGAGACTGATATGCTATCAATAGAGAAAAGCAAGTCATCAAAGTGGAGTCGACAAATTGATTAGAGAAAAGGAACACGTGTCACTTGATCCAATAATTAAGGGGATATTTCCAACCAAAAATATGTTGATGATCAGAGAATAAAAGGAGAGCAATGTGGGTAGGATAATTTGCATAACCTGTAGAAAATTTTGATGCAGCACTGTACAGTCTTTAAAGAGAAGAAAGGGTATACTGGTAACTTAAGAAATTTTTGCCACAACCCTGAGATGATCACATGATAACTTCTGAGTTCAGGGTGATACCAGTAAGTAACTGTAAATATCACTATGCTTTTACCATCAAAAGGAGACTGAGAAACAGGTTGATGGGATGTTATCTGAGGAATTAATTAGGGATAGCACTAGACCCTTTTCGAGCCAGGTTATTCTTGTAAAAAAAGAAGGATGGACCTTGAGGATGTGTTGATTACAGGGTATTAAATAAGGATACAGTGCATGATATGTAGCCTATTCCTATGATTAATAAGTTGTTGAATGAATTGCATGATTTCAGTAGGGGGAAATTTGGTGCTGAATAGCTCGAAAGATTAGCTCTGAGCGCTTTGTACTTATAATGATGAAACTATACAAAAGGAATCCCTAAATTATAGGAATTTAACAATCATATATCAATCTAATTACATCAGAGTTATTATATACATAGAAATAACAAATTTTTACATAGAAGAGGAATTATCTCGTCAAATATTCTATTAATCACGCCATATCTCAACAATTCCTATTACTTATGAAATTTTGGCTATCAGATCCCGAATGTCCTAAGAGATGTCGAGACACCGGATCCGATTTCACACACAACAACAAGATATATAAACAAAAATAACAGCACTGAAAAGAAAAACAACACACAATTGTTAATCCAGTTCGGTGCAAACCAACACCTACTTTGGGGGCTACCAAGTCAGGAAGAAAATCCACTAGACAGTATTAAATCAAAGCTAAACTAATCCCAAGTTTACAACTTATCACTTAATCACTATCCTGTGCAACTTCTACCTGATCCTCCCTAGATATGAGAAATTTCATCTCACATCCAATCATCACAATGATGTCTAACAGTCCCAGTCCCATTTACTGTATCGACGGCCTCTCACCTAAATGAAGATCACACTTCAAATACAAAACAAACACCTTAATCAAGACACCCTTTGATTCATAATAACATACTTGATCTTGCTTCACAGCTTTGTTCAAGAACAATACTTAGAGTTGCTTAACAGCTTCCTCCAAGAACAATACTACCTCTTGCTTAAAAGCTTCGAGGAAAACAATAACAGAGATTAAAACTCTATAACCAAGTCCAACTCACAACCCAAGTGGATCACACAAACCAACTCTCCTAGAGAGTGGCACAATGACAAAGCCCTAATGATTCTACATCCTGGACCCGTACACTTCTAGGTTACAAACACTTCTATTTATAACCTTTTTCCCAACTGGATTTGGGCTTCAAAAACGCAGCAGAGAGGCTGCACAAAATCTACAAAAACTTCTCCAAAAAAATAAGTCTTCAATCATTTGTTTCCTAAAATGTCTCCATAATTAGAAAGTTTGAATATCTTGAAAAACCAACATAATATCTCTGATTTATCAATCTTGGACACCACATAGGATTACTAAATATTCCTTGAATATTCAGTAATTAAATCACAACAACTAAATCCAGACTGTCAGCTGTAGCAAACCTGATGTCCTATACTTCTGGTTAGGACATCCCTTTTTCGACATATTCAAACAGCAAGTTGAAACATATTCAACATGTTGCTGCAAAGTTAATGTTATCAAAATTCATGTCAATCATAATTTCAGAGAAATAACAACTTATACAAGGTTAACCTCAAATCTGGGCTCCTTAAATTATAGTTAAGGAAGAATACTCTCATAAAACGGCTTTAAGAATGCACTAAGGTCACTATCAAAACTTTGTTATATCCTTCAGATTCATGAATCCACTTTTCAATCTACTGTGAATTATGTGTCTTGACCCTTGTTGAGGAAGTGCGTGCTGGCACATTTTGACAATATTCTGGCCCACATGCCCATATGGCTCCCTCATCTTATTCACTTTGTATTAGCAAAATCTTAGTTCACCATCAGTATGTCACTGACAACAAGTGTATGTTTTTTTTGACATTGATAGAGTACCTTGGGCATCTAATTTTTGCTCATGGAGTTGATATTGATCTATCTAAGGTCCAGGCTATCATGGATTGGCCAGCCCCCACGCTGATGCTAAATAGTGCATGGGTTCTTTGGACTCACTGGCTATTATCAAAGGTTCATTAAAGACTTTGCGAAGATCGCTCAGCCAGTAACTGCTTTGAATAAGGAAGGTTTAAGCAGGGGGAGTAAAAGTAGTGGGCCTTTCAGCACCTCAAACAATGTTTGGCTTCTTTTTGGTCCCTACTGGATTTACCTACGAGGAGTTGATGCATTTGGGAATGAGTAAAATCAGAGATAATCTGAAGAGCATCTGAACTGGAATTATGAGAAAATGAATTTAACTAATATGAACAGTTACCGGTTACAATACAGTTGTAATACAACGGTATCACAGCTCAACAAGAGAAGAAATAATAAAGTTAACCCAGATGTAAAATAGGAGACATGTATTCTATGATACACGGGAATTGAAGCTGTTCTTATGCGGAAAAATAAGCACATTGCCTCTTTCAGCAAAAGCCCACTCACCCTGGTTATGAAAAGAAATCATAGCTTTGGTAATGGCGATTAAACATTGGAGAAATTATCTTTAGGAATGAAGCTTCAAGGATTGACCATAGAATCCGCAAACATTTGTTACAAACAATCACAACAGACCAGCAAAGTTGGTCAAGTTCAATATTTGTCTTTTTATGGTGAGTTTGGTCAAAGCATAGGCTGGAACATATAATTTAAGCATCTTTGTGGATTTCTATGAGTAGTGTTTTAGGTAATTCCTTCCATAGATATTAAAAGCCATTAGAAAAAAGGGAAAACCAATTAAACTATTACTTAATTATATTTATAGGAAAGAAAGTGTGTATAAAAACAGTAAAAAGAAATGGGCCACGATTCCACCAACATACTCCCTCCGGTCACAATTATAAGCCAAAATAACCACTTTCACACAGATTAAGAAAGTTAGTTAAATGTAATTAATTTTCTTGATTTCATGTCCAATCAAAATAAAATTTACTATTAATATCTTTAATTATATTTGATAAATCAACTACCAACATTAAATGTTTTGAACTAAATCAAGGATATAATAGTAATACAAGCATTAACTAGTCTAAAAGTTAATGACTTTTGCTTATAATAGTGACCAAGATTTAAGGTCATTTTTTTGCTTATAATAGTGACCGGGAGGAGTATTCATTAAATAGATAAGAGTAAAATGGAGCTTGTCCACATGGAAAACCCAATCTCCAAGCCATTCCAATTCCACCAAAAAAAAAATACTCTTATACTCACTTAGAGAAGAGGCCTACCTTATTGAGAAGTGCCTTCTGGCTAGCACGGAGCAAAAGTGCGGTTATAAACTCCAGAGTCATATAGTTCACACTGGAAAGCCTCTTAAGTATGTTTCTCATGGAATATATATTGGATCGGGCACCTTTGATCTCATTATAAAGCTCAAATGTTGTCAGAGGCTCGGGAAGGCTAGCAAGATAATATTTCACAAGAGCTGCTACATCAACTGGATTTGAGCCTTCTGGCACTGAAGCAGTTGAATCTGCAACATGCAATTATAGAAGCAAAAATAACACTGTCTAAGTTTAATGATATAACCTACCAATTACAGAAAGAATGATCGAAATACCTTGGTTGTATAGGGAAACCAACTGGTGAATAACCTTTTTGTCCCCTTCAGACTTAAAAAGATATGGCAGATTCAATCCTACATATAATTACAGTCATGGGATTACTGCTGGATTAAAATACAACAAAAAGAAAAGAAAATAATAGAAAAGAACAGAACCATAGAGTGATACACGGACATAGAACCTTACTCTAGAAAAAGCTACCTGATACTATAAGATAATCTGCACATTTGATCAGTATCTGAGGAATAGGCCTGATGCAATCTTGCCTCTGTACAGTAACCTCAATAGGAACTCCAAATACTGGGGTCAAGATTATGAATGATTAACTACCATAATATGCAGGCAGGAACCAATTTTTAATTTAAGTATACAAAACATGATATACTGCTATAAACAACTTAACAGATAAGCAGTGATAAAAAATGAAAATGGAATTCATCCCAAGATTCCTTGTTAGAGCAACGGAATTACTACATAGTTACCAAAAAAGACTCTAAATAGTTCTTCTAAGTCAGTGAAAGATTGTGATGCATGAAAAGAACGGCTCACTTGTTCAGTTATGTTGCAAACCCAAAGTCAAGCAAAGAATCAGTAATATAAATATGAGATCAACAATGGATGATTTGTAGATTTTATTGATGGAAGATAAATGCAGAAGGGAGCAAGGCTCACAACTACCTACAGAGCTAGGCTCCTCAGAGAAAACACAATTCTCTACCAAAACAGAAATTATACTTTTTGTGATAACTCCTCTCTCACCAAACGAAACTCATATAACAGAACTCAACTAACATTTCCTAGGCCAACTCTCTCTCACTGCCACCCCATCCTTCTTTCCTTGCCTTCTATTATTTCTCACATATACTATACACACTTTTGGACCACCCTGATTCTCATGACCCACGACATCAGCTAGGGGCCTGTCAAACTATGTGGTTTGAGAAACTTACCATCATTCCTAGCAACTCCCTGAAAAGAAAAGACAAAAAGTTAGAGCAATTGAAAATGATCTTATGCTAGCAGTAACAAATATATATGTCACAAACGTCATTACCTTCTGCCATCTTTCAATGTCTGTCAAGATGATTTTACTCTTTTGTGCTGTTACTTTTGCCACCTGAAATAAATGATAATGATGCCAAAACAAAGAAAGAAGAAAATAAAGTATCTGAGCATCCACTTGGTAGAGAAAACATAAAAGTAGAATTAGCGACATCTTCATGTATGACTAACGGGTAAAGATATAGGGTGTATGAAAAGAGAGAACAGGGAAAGAGAGAAAAGTTCAACAAAAATTAATACCAAGAGGGTTTCGAGTATACAGTTTAACTAAGCACTTGTTCAAAATATATCATATAAAAGCTTATGGCATACATGCTTAAATTCAATAAACTATTGGCATTTGGATATTAACAAAAATGGCCACATTATTCATTATATTTTACGTATTCAAAATTTTGCTATCAAAATGGTGAAAAAACAAAACCTAATCACTATGCATTTATGTCCTAATAAAGAAGTATACATCTCAATCCCTAATCATTTACTCAATCACATTACCTCTTCAACCTTGGATTTTCCCACAACCACCTTTTCTTTTGTCCCAGACAAACCTCTCCTCAGGAACGCACCAGTTGTAGCAGCAGCTGAAATCATTCGATCCTGTACAGCATGTCTTGTGGACGGCTGCTGAAGAAGTGCCCACCGACTTTTGACTATCGTTCCAACTCGTCCCGCCACTTCAGCTACGTTACTCTTTGTATCCTTTGTGACCTCGCCAACAAATGTTCCTGCTGACTCCCTGGCTTCTTTAAGCTTTACCCCTACATTAAATTTACATCTGAACAAATAGAGACACAAACAAAGACCATACAGTAAACAAGAAGAGGAAAAAAGTGCACAAATTAAGTAAAAGGTACCTGAGGAAGAAAAGAAACCAGAAGCCTTATCCTGCCACTGAGGTGAAATTACAGAAGGCATTGAACCAGAAGCTAGTTATAAAATCAAACCAATGGCAAAATAAGTTGAAACTCGATCCTGTACAGAAGTAAAGTAGTAAACCCATAAGAGACAAGTCAGTCAAGAACTATAGTCATCATCATGAATTCACTTACAGAAACTTCTGATTTAAAAACCATAAATAAAAGTATTTAAATGATATGCACTCTCTCACTGTAAACTAGTGTAAGTAAAACAAGTTTTACACTACATCTAATGACCACTATTTTACCACATCAACCCCACTTTTATGAGGGTGTTTTGAAATTGATAGTAGGACATGAAAAAATTGCGGTATTTCATTCGATGTCAGTATCAAATCAGTTTCTGTGGACAGGGTAAGCCTAATAAGGCCCTATTCAAATAAACAGTTTAATTAAGTGCTAAATTCCTAATATCATAAGTACACACTTATCAAATAAGCATAAAACAAAGAGTCTGTTTGGATTAACTTATTTGAGCTTATCTACTGTCATAAGTTTAATGACATTGTTTGGAAGACTTCATCAAAAACAGCTTATGACATTTTGTATAGATTTTTTTGATTTATTTTTATATATTCTTCGAGCTAGCTACTGAAACCAACTTATAACATATATAAAATCAATTTAAGTGTACTTTACCTTTTGTTATCAAAACAGCTTATGCAGACTTAATCATAAGCGCTTATTTTTATAAGCACTCATGTTATAAGCTGCAAATAAGTTATTTATCCAAACAGATCCAAAAACTGGTTTCATATCCCAGAGAGCTTTTCAAAATAAGCTAAAAACAGCTTATGGACATGTGGCAAAAAAATTCTCACAATTGTGTTCAAATCAATCAATTTAAACGTCACATAATCTCTAAATAAATCAAAATAAAACAAAAGACACACTCAAATTAGTTACCAGATTATCATCAAAGAAGATTATAATTTCAACAAAATCATCAAACAAATAAATAAGCAAAGTCCGATCATACAAAAAATCAAATATTTTGTTCAACTCAATTTAACAAGAATTTATCCAAACATAAATTATTTTACCTTCAACTCACTTTTGGACAGAATCAACTTTACATAATGAATTCACTCATAATCAAAATCAAACACACACTAATCAGGTTAAATATGTGCTAAATTGCTAATATCATAAGCACACACTTATCGAATAAGCGGTTATCTATAAGCTATTTACCAAACCAAAACAGGTTCCATATCCCAAAGAGCTTTTCAAAATAAGCTTAAAAACAGCTTATGGACAAAAAAATTCACACAACTGTCGGTGTAAATAAGTTCAAATCAGTCAATCTAAACTAATCATAACCTCTAAATAAATCAAAACAAAACAAAAGAATCACTCAAATCAGTTATCAGACTATCATCAAAGAAGATTCAAATTTCAACAAAATCATCAATCAAACAACAAATAAGCATAATCAAAGCCGATCAAAACATCAACAACAGTTCTTACTCGACTATACCAAACAAATCGATCAAAATCATAACACAAAACAAGTTTCGATCAGATACGAAACGATTATCGAGAATCCGATCAAAATTACCTTGTTCGCTACTGTGGAAGTAGAGAGAGTTAGAGAGAGAAGTGTGAAAGTTTTGAGAAGAAGAAAAAAAGAGAGTGTGACGGGATGGAAGAGAACAGAGAGATATGGATTTGGAATGGGACTGCTGTGAAGAAGAAGTCGTTGGATCGATGAGATAACACCAAAAGTATAACGGCACTTCTTTTGTCTTTCACTCTCACTTTATTTTTTCTTCAGCTCTAGCCTGAATAGTCCAGATGCTAACTCCAACTTCAATAAAATAATGTTCATTAATATAGTAATAAAATAATAATTTAAAGAAATTTCTTACTACATCTTATATAAGTGGAAAAACCATCTCAAAACCCAAATACAATTAGTATATACATATTCGAACGAACCCCTAAATTAATTTTTATGCATATCTGAAAATACCTTTGTTACATAAGTTTGCTTCATGATTACCACTACTACTATTTCATTCATTTCATTTCCCTCCAATAATCAAAACCTACCTCAAAACCTCAATCATTCTCAATCGTTTTTTCGTCTCCAAATCAAATTTCAAGTGTTTTATCATATCAAAGAGAGCATAGAAAACTACAATTTAAGGTAAAAATTCTCTATTTTACCTCTCATTTCCTTGCATTGATGTTGAGCTTTGGTTGAAAAAACAACGTCAATTCGGATATGCATATTCGAAATCTACCTAATACATTTCGGATGTCCATATCAGAAACTATGTCTGTTACAAAAATAGAATTTTGTGTTGAACAGGTTTTATGTTTTTGCCTATTTTAGATATGGTGCACTCTAACATGTTTCCCAAAGCTGTTATAAAGGATCCAGACAAGGTGAATGAGGATGTTAAGCCAAAAGAGTTGAAGGACGATGTTAAAATGATATTTTTGCGATATATGTTCAGCAATAATTTACAAATGATCAAATTTTCAGTGTTCGTCAACATATGCTCGAATGGATCTGAATTGAAGCTAGCAAACTCGGGTTTGGCATTGTGATTGAAAGGTCCGACAATGGCACTAGTAGAAGGCAAACATTTATAATAATGACATGTGAGAGAAGTGGAAAATATGTTCCAAAAATTCATAAGTTAAAACATGAAGACACTGGATCGAGAAAATGTGAGTGTTTGTTTAAATTGTGCGAATACTATAGGGTGGATGATTTGTGGCGGTTTAATGTTATACGTGGTTTACATAATCATGCGTTGGATACTAAGCTACATGGTCATCCGATTGTATGTCGGCTTAAGCCGGAGGAGAAGGAAATTATTTCGGAAATGTCGATAATCAAAGTTACACCGAGAAACATACTTGCCAATTTGAAATAGAAAAGACCACAAAGTATTTCAAATATAAGGCAGGTATACAAAGAACATTATCAACAGAACATGGTGAGTAGAGGTCTGAGATCTGAAATGCAACAACTTTTGAAACTTTTGGACGATAATCACTATATTTCAAGGTATAGAGTGTGAGGATAAAGTCTGTATTTGTAACATATTTTGGACTCATCCAGAAAGTATCAAGTTGTTCAACACATTTCCAATCGTCCTTATAATTGATTCAACGTAAAAGACCAGCAAATATAGGCTTCCTCTTTTAGAAATTATTGGTGTCACTTCTACGGAGAAGACATGTTTGATTGGATTTGCATTTCTGGAATCTGAGAAAGAAGACAACGTTATATGGGTGTTGAATATATGCAAGTCTGTATTAAATGATCCACAAAATATGTTTAGTGTCATTGTAACCGACCTAGATAACGCCCTTATAAATGCGGTTGAAAGTGTGTTTCATACTTCATACGCATTACTTTGTAGGTATCATATAACAAAAAATGTGAGAGCTAAGTTAAAACTTGTGGTTGGCAACAAAGAAATCAGGGGTGAAGATGGAGACATGGTCAAATCTAGTGTGGTGGTGGAGAAGATAATGGATGCATTGACGAATATATTAAATTCTTCTACATAAGAGTTGTATGTTGAGAATGTGGTATATTTCAGAAGCTTGTGTGTGAAATATCAAGTTTTTATGACATATGTTGAATCTACTATTCTTGATCAGGTGAAAGAGAAAGTTGTGTGTGCTTAGACGGACCGGATTAGACATTTGGAAAACACAACAACTAATAGAGTTGAATCTGCACATTCAGTATTAAAGAAATGGTTGGGTGATAGCAAGGGAGATCTTTGTGGAGAATGGGACATTGTGAACCAAATGCTCCAAAACCAACATAATGAAATTCAAACAACTTTTGGTCGGAGCATAATTGTGGTAGAATACCAGTTCAAAGACAACACTCTCTACTCGTTGTTGGTTCTCAACATATCCCATGCAGCATTGAATTTCATTTTTCATGAAGTTAAGCGAGTGAAGACAACAGAGACAGATAGTTCGTAGTGTGGATGTACAATTAGGAAAACTTACGGGCTTCCATGTGCTTGTCTCATTTCTAAAAAGATGAAGCTGAATTCCCTCATACGTATGGACGAGGTCTATGATCAATGTAAAAGACTCTGGTTTGATTACTACGATGAGAAGAAGGACAATACATCGAGTATAACCATCACAACCGAGTTGAAAGTGATCATGGATATATTTTCTAAAGAGGATGATACTATGAGATTGCACATAAAAGAACAGCTGAGGAAAATCGCCTATCTAGAAACCACTAATTTAAAACCTCTTTTGGAACCGGTAAAAATCAAAGGTGCCCCAAAAAAGGTGAAAATTACACAAGATGACAGTTCAACAAAGCGGACTCTGTCTTACCATGAAGTTGTTGACTCCATATTCTCGGATTCTCAAAAATCACAAACAAGTGTTTTCAAGGGTGCTCGCATTTCCAAATCACCTCGTACATCCACTATTAAAAAATAACCACATACACACCCGGTTAAAAAATCACCACTTCCACCTCCAATCATCTACATTGATGAGATGTTACTTTTTATGCATAAACACATTGAAATAATCGTAGATGTTGGGAGTGATGGTAATTGTAGGTTTCGGGCCGTGTCTATTTTACTTGATAAAGGAGAAGAGAATCACACTCTTGCGCGCTAAACATTCATTTCAGAGTTTACGACGCATAGAGAACTTTACAAACGACTATATGTGAGTAAGGAAGTGTGATACGGTGGTAGAACTGACTGTTATATTGGTTTGCGTTTTGTATTCGTAAATATGCGGTAAGCAAGAGTCGCCACCAACTTTTATTTCATCCAACAAAGAAAAAGGAAAAAGAATAGAAAAAACCTTTTTTGAGATGTTTCTGAGTACGGGGGTAGATTATAAAAAGGGAAGGTGTTAGCACCCTTTCTATCCATGGTTTTCCATGGGCTATTAGGTGCTTAGCTCATGTTTTGAAAATTGTTTGTGCTTGTGTGTTTTGAAAATTATTTTGAAAATGCCTTAGTGTGGAGATTTACTTTG